TAATATAGGTATAATTAATAAGGCACCTATATTGTAACGTAGATGTCTGAATAGTTGGCGAGCACATCCCTGTACTCCTCTACAGTCACCAGAAAGTTCTGATGTAGAGGCTTTGGGTTTGGGGTGTACCACAAAACCCCCCAAAAATTCGAGTTAGTACCCTAAGCCCTTAACCCCAATTCTTCGAGTCATTCGCGCCTGAATATCACCCCTATAGACCCTAAACCCTAAACCCCTAAACCCTAAACCCTAAACACTAAACCCCCAAACCGTACCCTACCAGGCCATCATCGCCTGCTTCAAGGATGGCTACACCCCCGGGCCTGAGGATCGCACCTTGTTGCCTCAAAATGAGCTTTTAAGTTTAGGGTTTAGGGTTTAGGGTTTAGGGAACTTTTAAGGCTTTTAGGGCTTATAGGGCTTATAGACTTATAGGGCTTATGGGGCTTGAGGGTTTAGGGTTTCGGGTTTGGGGTTGCTTGCTTTGGGTTTAGAGGGATTTGGGGTTGAGGGTTCACGGGGACCTTCAGGTCTATTTACACATGGCCCAATACCCATAAAGGGCCAGTATTCGACATACTTTGGATGTCCAGGTAGGGTTTGGGGCAGTCAGGGCTTAGCCAGCATGGGGGCGGTGGCTCGGGCTCTAGGCTTATATGCTGGAGGGCTTTGGTTAGAAGCAAGGTGCTTCCAGAGTTCTCTAGGTCTCTGGTGCACGGACCAGGAGTTTTGTCGCGACTGCAGTGCTTCGCGCACATGATACTTCTGCAAACAGCTGGCTTTATTGAGGTGAACCCTGGAAGATTATTGAACAGGCCCCTGCAACCAACTAGGAGCTCATTTACTTATCCAGTGGTGCATGAATTCATTCGGTCGATCGGTCAGGTCAGTCGTGCAGTCGTGCATTCATGCGTTCATGCATGCATGCGTTCATGCATTCATTCATTCATTCATTCATTCATTCATTCATTCATTCATTCATTCATGCATTGATCCATCCATCCATCCATCCATCCATCCATCCATCCATCCATCCATCCATCCATCCATCCATCCATCCATCCATCCATCCATCCATCCATCCATTCGGTCATTAGGTCATTAATTATTTCGTTCATTCTTTCTTTCGTTCATTCAGTAATTCTCTCAGTATGTCTTGCTTTCATGTCTGTGTGCAGTTTTACGTGAATACATAATACATGCATACATACATCTCCGGCTCCCGTTTCTTGCTCTGTATGTTTGTGTGTTTCTCTCTGACTCACACAACTGCTTAACCCCACAATGCTCCAAACCTCCAAGCCCCGAAACCCCTAAACCCTAAACCCTAAACCCTAAACCCCCAAACCTACGGCCCAACACTGTGCAGCCCCCTCCAGGGTCTCGTAAAGATGCTCGAAAGCGGCATCGATCCGGACACACCATCCACAGGCAGCGGTCGATTGGAGTTGAGGATTTGGACTTGGGGTTGGGGCCAGTGAAGTTACCGGTTTGTGAGCGACGAGGGCTTCGAGGGCTCAAGGGCCAAAGTTGCGAGTTGTGGATACTTGAGCCTCTGAGTCCTATCCTGCGCTGCAATTACCGAGATAGAGGCAGGGAGTGGGAGGGAGAGAGAGCCAGACAGAGAGCCAGACCAAGAAGGCCAAAGTGCTTAAGGCCGTAGCAAGCTGAATGTCAGGGCACATTGACACGACATCGGGTGATCAGTGCCGTGAAATTCAAAGCAACTCGTCGTCGTGTCCAGAGCAAAGACATCGCTCGACAGCGCCGTGCACATTCTTCACACAGCATACCAAAGAATACAGAGTAATAGTTGTCCAGTGGCCCAAGATGCATACCTTAACCAGAGCTCTTGAAAAGCTGAAGCATGAACTTGCAAAAGCTGTTGCAAATTCATGCATTCAGCTATTCAAGAAGCTGCGTGTCCAACTCCTTCTTGCTCAACTTGCCGGTGTCCGTGACCGACAAGGACTTAGCACACAAAAACTGCCTTACAGCCCGCAGGGCAGCTTAGTGTCAAGGCTGGGTTGAAGTCGTGCGTCTGCTGCAGAACGCACGACGAACAAACGGCGCCGTTACAGTGTCACGTGATGGTGCCGGCACAGACAGAATTCTTAAACCTCAGGGCCTTGCATCCAGACGATGGAGGCATTGATGTACTCTCCAAGCTTTTCTGTCAGCTTCCCTCTCCGGTGGCATGCTCTGCCGTGTTGGAACCGGCACAATTGAGCTGGTCGTCATTTAGAGGGGGCAGGGCCCTGCCACACGTTGCAACTCTAAGTTTAAGTTGCAACCTCTGGAACCAAGAACGGATTGGCCGAAAGCCCACCGGAGGGGTGTACGCAAGCCGAATCCTCGCAACAGCAGGCAGAGTCACCTCAGCGCTGACCCGATTCCCGAAGTCCAAGAGTTGCACCCCTAGACCCTAAACCCAAAACCCCGAAGCCTCGAGTCCCAACCTTGAAACAGTTAGTTAATCAGGCTTTAGGGTTTAGGATTTCACCTTCAAATAGTTAGTTAATCAGGGTTTAGGGTTTAGGGTTTCGGGGTTAACCTTGAACCTTGAAGTTTCAGCCCTGCACGAAACATCGGAGCATCACCACTCATTTACCAGCCCGGATCCTCCTGCATACCATTCACGCCAACTGTTCGGAAGTTCAACCTAAGCTTGTTACTGGTGCCCTCGGACTCCCTGCACGATTCTACAGCCATTGAAATCGTCGCATGGGGCTCCCTTAACCCCTCGTGCGGAACCAAAAGCTGAACGCTTGAGAGCATAAACCCTACAAGCCCTTGCGAAATAATGACTCTTTAGGAGCTACACAAATCACCGCAAAGCCTCAGCTTCAAACCCTAGAGTGATCGCCCGGCAGGATTTATGAGTGGCTTCGCCCCCGGCATGACACCGCTCCTAGCTGCCGCCTCCTGGGGGAAGGCGCTACATCTTGCGAGATGCTGGGCTCCTGACACAATAATACATAGTTTAATCTACGACACTGTACCATACCATACCATACCGTGCCATACTATACTATACTATACTTTGCTGTGCTATACTATACTATACTGTACTAGACTACACGATACTGTACTTTTCGCTATACAATGATACTATACTATCGAATATACCATACGATACGACGCTATGCTATATACTATCCTGCAACACACTATATATCATCCTGTCGAAAATGAGTATAGTGCAAGCTAACAGAAGAAAGTCGTTACAGCATAAGACAACATCATACAACATGATATGTTATGCTGTGTTGCCATATGGTTCGCAATAGAACAATGTAGTTACACATAACACAGTTTAGCATAGTATAACATCATGTGATATAATGTAACATGCATTTTATTTATACTGTAGTATACTCGGGTATCGTATCGTATAGTAGTATAGTAAAATATAGTATAGTTCAGTCCATCTTGGAGTGATATCCAACATTAGGGTTGCCAAGCGGAATGCAATGTCCTCATTATCGGGGGGCCAACCAGGCTGATGTATGATATTATATTAACCTTCAGGTCGATATGGGGGGTTACAAAAAGGTATGTATGATGGGGTTCACTCGACACGAAATTTTAATCCTCACGAACTAAGATGTGAATTTATAAGGAATACCTTTTGGGTGAACATGAAATGGAAGACTACTGTCACCATTGGGGCCAATGTAAGGTTTAATGGCAGTGTTAGTCTTTGGGATACTGTTGTTTAGGAATAGGAGTCAGTCAAGGCCCACGGTCATTCATACGTATTGCTGGGGCTTTGATCTGAGGCTACGGTGAAACTACCTTGGGAATTAATACTCGGGCCCATGTTGAGCTTCAGGTATTCAGACGGAAATGAAGTTCATCGTTGGGGAACTCATCTCTCGGAGTGTCTGTGTGAAGGGTCGCGAGAATTGAGAATGAAGGCTTCTGCCGATATACATACACTGTTTCGTCGGAACTTCAAAACCTAACGTTAAAGCTGTATCAAACGCCAAAAACTTGAACGTAGGAGGATTGGTGGCGCTATCGCGGCACCTCGTGGTTAGTTATTTGATATATATATATATATATACCGCGATCCCAACTCCCAAACAGGCACCCTGAACTCTTATCCCGAAGACAAACCGAAGGTTGACGAGGCTCGCATTCTCTTGGCCGCCGGTGCAGACGTCCGGGTGAAGTCTCCCAACATCAACCACACGGCCTCTGAGCTTGGTTTCAGTGTTGTTGTATAGAGAATCACCGTGTGCTCTTCAGGTTCCGTGTTTCTGCACTGTTCAAGTTTGTAGATGTTAAGAGTTGAGACTTCATTCTTGCAGAGGCTGCCTTCACCCGTACTATGGCAACCTCAGTAACATTGGTGTACAACCCCTACATAAGACTTACAACATGTGAAGCCCGAAATGCTCTTGGAGTCATCGACAGGATGCTTAAGAGCCGTTCTGAAACGCTAAGCCTTAAAGCTCTATGTTACTCCTTGCGGCCTGCCGAGGAGCGGTCCTTTGACGGTACCCTAATAGGACTATAGGAGGTCTCTCGAAGTATTGTAAGGGTACTCCAAGGGTGCTCTAGGGGTTCTATAAGAGTACTCTAATGGGTTACTAGAAGGGTTTAGGGTACAAGGGTCCATGCTCCCGTACCGTATACACTATGGCCCTAGATGGCCTTCAAGTATCCATATAGCCACTACATAGGTATACGTAGCTTAAGGCCAGGTCCACGAGGTCCGGAACATGCAAGCTTGGTGTGGAGATCCAAGGTGCTCCATGCCGATAGCTTACGAGATGCAAGTCCAGCTTCCAGATCTTGGAGTTGCCAGTCTCTGGGAGTCACAAGCTGTGTGAAGATTCACATGACCGAATTTGGCCCACTGGAGGCAGCAGTCAAGTTTGGGCAGTAGAATGTGCAAGGCTCTTGCAATTGTAAGCTTCCTAGCCTGACTTCCTGCAACATGTTGGGCTGGCATTGCTCCCTAATCCGGGTGATTCTCCTGTGCACCTAAGATGGCCGCCGGCGGTAATGTTGATGGCTGGGGCCTGGAAAAGACCCACGCGGTGGGCTCAGATGTCACGAAGTGTCGGGTCCCAGACGTAATACAAGGTTTAGGGTTTAGGGTTTAGGGGTTTAGGGTTTAGGGTTTAGTAGAGGGGTCTAAGTAATCACCAATACTATTTAGGTGGGCTCCTTATTAGAATTCTGGTATAATCTACCCCGAAACCCTATTCTAATTATTATAAGGCCCCTATATTACCCTCTTGAGGGTTTAGGGTTTAGGAGCCTCTTAGGGTTTGCGGCCTTGTTCTTGTCTTGGGATGTCATCTCCAACATCTCGAACCCACCCATCCCAAACTCTAGCCCTTTGCCACCAAAGGACTGACAACCAAGCAACCCATCGCCTAAGCATTCCACACTGCTAGACCCCCACAGGTAAGTATTCCTGCGCAAGTGTTCACAGTCTACGAATTTCACTACAGACAGTTACGTCTTTTCCCGCGAGGAAATGTGCCACCTTAAGCTACCAAGCGGCGCGCCAAACCTAAACCCTGAAACCCTCAAACTTCAAGCCCAAGACCCTCCGACGCCTCAGACCCTTCCCATTAAAATCCTGAAGCATCACAACCTACGCCCGAAACCCAATCTAAAGCCTTGGACCTTAAACCAAAGATCAAAAGCCCCAAGCACCAGTAACCGTAAATCCCGAACCCCCTAAACCCCTAAACCCTAAACACCTCTAAACCCTAAACCCCTGACCTTCTAAGAACATGCTTCGGCTCATTCTTGAAGCCGAACCAGCGTTCCTCGGCATTGCAGGGTTTAGGGTTTAGGTTTTGGGGTTTAGGGCTTTTAGGGTTTAGGGTTTGGGGTTTAGGGTTTAGGGATATAAGCGTCGTACCGTGGTTTTATAACAACAGGGGACCCCGACGTAGACCGTAGCTCGTGCCAGCCTTAAACAAGATATCAGGGTACTGCCAAGAGCTTAAGAACCCCGAGGATATTAACATGAAGTTGTTGTGGCCAGTCGCACTGTGGCTGTGTTCGTGTTGGTGTCAATGCGATTCTGCGATGTTCATCTTCGCTGCTAGCTGTACTTGTACTGTAGCTACGCCTGTTAGAATAGAGGGTTGAGTTGAGGAACTAATCTTGATTCGGGATTCGGGATTGGGGCTCCAGAATTTTGAAGTTTCAGGGTCGAGGCTTTAGGACCTCAGGGTTTTGATTCAAGTTGAGGCTTAGTGATTCTTCTATGACGCTCCAGGGCCGGAGCTGCTGCAGTTCAGGTCGAAGCTAATTTCTTCTTAACTGCCTAGTGTAGGGTTTAGGGTTTGGGGTGTCTAGGGCTTCTTGTTGCTGCCTGGCTTCTGTGGACTGTTTGTCGTCCGATCTACATTCATAAGCCCTCTTCGACGCCTACAGTGCCTTCAGCCTAAACCCTATGTCCGAGGACAGGGAAGTGCTATTCACTAAGCTTCTCGGATGGGCCGAGATCCAATCGAATCTTTGCCGACTTGGTGCCATCCTTGAACCCCGAATTAACTTATTGATTAATTAGCTATAGTTAATGCAATAACTTTTGATAAGCAGCCTCTGGCCCAAAGCCCTAATGCTGAAAGGAGCCCAAACCCTTAACCCCTACGCCCGATACCCTAAACTCTAAACCCTAAACCCTAAACCCCAAACCCAAACCCTAAACCCTAAACCCTAAACCCCTACGCCCGATGCACTGTTCACTCGGCTGTTCAAAATGGCGATCCGAGGCTTCTCACGGCCAGGAACGGCATGAACAAGACTGGCTCTCAGGTTTGGGTTTAGGGTTTAGAGTTTATAAGGGTTTAGAGGTTTAGGGTTTAGGGTTTTGTGTTTTGGGTCGAGGGTTTTGGGTTGAGGGCTTTGGGTTTAG